AGTATGGCAATATGTAAATCAATGGATGTGTAACCGATGTGATTCTGCAATCTGTATACGGGGTAAAAATGGGAGTTCATAACCCACATGAATCAAAGTGTGAAATATGATATATCAAGAACTATGTAATGTTTTGAACAACCAACACATTACAAATAAATAAATAAATTAAAAAAAAAGATTTGAGGACCTCAAGGAGGTTTGGTTTATGAAGGTTATATCTATCCATATTTGTTGTATCGAGAATTAAAGATATTTGTTAATTACTTCATTAAAAACAATAAACCCATTACAATGATTACACTTTAATGTATAAAGAAATTTTTGTGAAATATGTTTGCAAAAAATTTAATGAGAAATGTGACATTGTTTTACACTTTTGCAAACTTCTTTCGTGTCTGGCTTAACAAAAGACAGCTAGATTCTTATATCTGCTTTTGCATTGAGTTGGTTGGGATATCACCCATCATGTAGTCTCTGGAGAACTCCACTGAATACGTTTGAGAGAATGAGAGTGAAAAGCTATTATTGTTATTATTATTATTTTAGCCTTATTATTAACAGACTTTTGACCTTGTAGACATATAGAAAGCATGTTGGGGACTCCTTGGGGTCCCAAGACTAAACTTTGAGAACCAATATGTGAGTTGAACAGAAGTTTTTACAGGCTTGCTTTAAAATTCTATTATGAACAGGACCCAGTGGCACAAACCTATAATCCCAGCTACTTGGAGGCTGAGGCAGTAGGATTGCAAGTTCAAGGCCAGCCTCATCAATCTAGGGAGACCCTGTCTCAACAACAACAAAAAAGACTGGGGATGTAGCTCAGTAGTACAGCACCCCTGGGTTTAATCCTCAGTCACACACACACACACACACACACAAATCTCTTCTGAGAACTCATCACTCAACTCAGTCCTCCTCGGTTTCATAAGCAACACATTTACAAATAAGAAACAAAGGTGACACTCACCCTCACAGCTTTCCCTGTGAACACAGAGCCAGTTGCACTGCTTTTGAAGATCCTGGTTTGGTTCAGTTTTAGAAGGCCTTTATGATACTGCAGAGCAATTCGGGCTGTCACTCCTGAGCCAGTGGGGCTCCTGTCAACCTGTTTCAGCATAAAGGAAGAATGTTCAGAGTATTCTAGTTCCACAGTACCTGGTGTTTGTGGCTAACAATTACAGTTTTAATACCTGTTCATCTGCAAATACACAGATGTTGGTGGTTGGTTCCTCACTATAAGCATCTTTTCCGTCTGTTAATATAGTTCCATAGAGAAAGGAAAGGTCTTCATTATCAGGATGAGTAATTTTAAACTGAAAATAAGAACAAAATAATTAGCCATATGTAAAATAAATGCTTTATTTCAAATTTATCTTTTTCAATAATGTAGATAGGGTACTCTTTTATATAATTTTTCAATCTTTACCATTTTGGGGCAAGGAACCAGATGCTAGATGCTATTCTTTAGGTAGTTTTTTTGTTTGTTTTTTTTTTTTAATTTCTGGTTGTTGTCATACTTTGGGTCCCTTCTAAGGAAACTGACCTGCATATAGCTTCAGTGAAAAGAACAGTCCTCTATTCTAACACACACTTTTTGAAGCACTGGCCCCAAGTCCACAGGCTGGCTGTAGCTAAAGCCATCGTATTTTCATTCTCAGGAGCCTGAAGGGGAGAATGTAGAAAAATCAGGCACTAAGTATCTAGAGCTGAGGTTAATTCCAGTGATAGAGACAAGGACTGTGAGAGGCCATGCGCAAGTAAAAGTTAAAAGGATCTAGAAGATTTGGGGTAAGAGAAGCAATTGAACAGGGGAAAAAAAGATACTGTAGAGGATGAAGTCAGTTGGTTCCATGAAAAACAGCAGACCCAGAAGCTGGCACTGGCTGAGTTGGTAGGTCCTCCGTGGTAAGGTTCATTAAGATCCCAAAGTGTAATGCTCCCAGGTTTTCTTGGGAGATCTACTTGTTTAACTTTCTCCAAGTTTCTATAATTCCAATCATCTAGTAGACTGAGTACTATGATCTTCTCCATTTATTCTTATAATTAGTATATTTCACTCCCACTTCCCTGTTATTTTTAAAAAATTGAACATATCTAGATTCTTAAAAGCCAAAGAGTCCATTTAAAACCAAGATAAACAGGCCTGCATATTGGATCTTAGCTTTCTGAGCCCCTGAGCCCAACTCCACTGAAGTACTACTCCAACACACTATTCACAGGTTCACAAGTATGTCCCCCATCCTTCCCACCACCAGCTCAAGTTCCTGGGAGACAGGGTAGGGTTTGTTCTTCCGTTGGGTCTCTAGCATCTAGCATATGTCTGACATGCAATAAGTTCATGCTAAATGTTTGTTAAAAGAATGAAGAAAAATTTATATTTACTTTAGCCCTTCCCCCCACAGATGGTCTTTCCCTAAATTTGCATCAGCAGAATTGATGGTCAGCAATTGACAAAGTAGTTCTACTATCTGATACATTAGCAATAGAACTTCATATTTTTCTCAAAATCTCCCCTCTATCAGGGTCCACCCTTGTCATTACCATCTCTGTGAGAAGTTCAAACTTTATGGGGAAGTTCAAAATTACTACTTTTACATGCCTTTTTCTTCTCAATTTCATAACAAATGGAATTATTATGTGCCAATTTTTAAAACTATTAGCTTTCTGCTTGATAGAAAAAAATATAATTTTTGCTCTTAAAAGTTACTGACTAAATAATATCCACATAAAGTTTCAGAAAAATGAAAATTTAGAATAGCAATATAGCATATATTTTCATTTGTTACTTAAGTTTTTAATTAAAGCTAAGAGTGTTGAGTCCGTTAGAAATTAGTCCGAGTGCAAGTATAATAGACATTGCCTTTCACAAGTTAATTTTTACTATTAGTAATTAAACATTTAGGTGCCAAAACATTCAAATTATGTATTTTATCTCTAAATTCTGACTTCAAGGTAAAATGGCAGACTTGTGCTAGAAATAATATTATTGACTCATTATTGAAACTGATTTTTATCAAAAAGGTTTTATCCCAAGCACAAACTAGTTAGTTGAATAGTTATTTGAGTAACTTCTAGGCAATACAAGAAAAATTCACTAAGAAAATTTTTTATTAATTTCTTATTGAAATAAGAGTTTTTTTCAGATCTAATAACCACATACAGCAAATACAGAACAACCACATAGAGCAAAACACATGAGCTTCAAATTAATGGAATATTGTATAATATATTTATTGTAATTTCAAATAACCATAAGCCATATCATCATAGGAATATTAAAAAGTGACTAATAGTTAACATTTATTGCTATTATTAAGGGCCAGGCAATATTCTAAGTCTTTTACATGTATTAACTTATTTCACTTTTATAACAACCCTAAAAGCAGATATTGTATAATATCTGCTAAAAACTGGGGCGTGCAGAGGTTATGTAACTTGTACAAGATTATGAATATTATAAATGGCAAAGCCAGAGCTCACTAGTAGCCTTATCTAAGATTTTAACCAGTACCCTATTAAGATACTTAATGGACATGATCATTCTATTTCTCCATGCCACAGAGGGAGGTTATTTGCTATTATGGCAGTGACTGGACTGACCTGAGCTTTCACTGCTTCTGTCACTGCACTCGCTGCGTTCACAAGGTCTCTTGTCTTCGCAAAACATATATCAAGTCCAAACTTTTCTGCACTAACCAGTGCATAAAATGCTCCACCATATGCAATGTCCACCACCACCTTTCCATGTCCAGGAACATCCACCATGAGATCTTAAAAAGATGTGTTTGAAAATCAGTTTGTTTTTAGTATTTTAGCAAAACATTCAAAGCATTTTAAATATTTAAATGTTTATTCTGTGGGAGAACTGAGGCTGGCTTTGAACTCACCATTCTCCTGCCACAGCCTCCCAAGATGCTAGGATTACCAGCATGTGCCACTGTACCCAGCTTGCAGGGAGAACTTTTGGTATCATGAAAAGGAATGAAGCAGAAATCCATTTTTCAAAAGAGTGAGCATCAGGTAATGATGGGTGCATCTTTTTATTTTTAACTTGATCTTTTTATTTTTAACTTGATGATGTTTGCATTAAGTTGTAAAACATTTGAATGCTGTCACACCCCATATCATACGTATATATTTGTTAACTACTATAAAGCCCTTTTCTGAGAAACATCATAGAGACCAAGGGAGGGAAAACCCTCCGGAATCAAATTGATCCTTATAAAGGAAAATATAGGCCCCTGATTTTACTACTAGTAACAGTTTAAAATAGAATTTGAATTCTATTCACAAATTGATTTTCTTCAAATGCTAGGTCAAAACAAAATTTTTGAAAGAATTTTTTTCTATAAATTATATACAAACATCATCTGCATGTTTCATCTCAAAATGATTCTGCAAAGACTCAGGAAAAAGCCACTGTACCATAGAAGACACCACATAGTGTTATTTTTGTATCAGGATTTTTACATATCTGAAGTTCCACCTAAAGGTCAGTTCTTTGAAATCCTTTATCTGCATTTCCAAAGGAATGGGTTGGAAAATGTTTTGGGACATTAAAAGTGTTTCTACCTGTTTTAGTAAGATTTTTGCCACTATGACCAAAAGACCTGAGCAGAACAACTTTAGAGGAGGAATAGTTTATTTGAGGATCTTGGTTTCAGAGGTCTAAGTCCATAGTTGGCAGACTCCATTGCTCTGTGCCTGAGATGAGGCGGAACATGAAGGTAGAAGGGAGTGACAGAGGAAAGAAGCCCAGAACATGACACTTGGGAAGCACAAAGAGCAATGTTCATCAGGGACAAAATATATCCCAAAGGCGCATCCCCAGTGACCAACTTCCTCCAGCCACACCCCACCTACCTACCTACAGTTACCACCCAGTTAAACCATTCAAACAGATTAATACACTGATTAACCAAGCATTTCTAAATTTTCTTGCATTGTCTCATATGTGGGCTTTTGGGGGAACCACATATCCAAACCATAATGGTATTCCTTTTGATATTTTCCTCTCTTCCTTCTCCCCAATTCAAGCTGGTCTGGTGGTCCCTGCCTTGGGGAAGGCACCTGGCAATGGAGAAAGTAGATCTTTTTTTTTTTTAATGGAAACCTAATTCTCAGGGGAAAGGCATTTGTTGGCTAGAGTGTCTGAAGGGAGAAATATTTCTATTAGCTGATAATTTCTTTTGGATTAGGGAGAGAGGAGGCTAAATGTCCTGAGTACAGAGGACTGTATTGACTTCCCCACAGCACAGGAGGGCTTTAGGGTGGGACAGCACAGCCAACCAGGAGGGGGAGTGCAGGGATGAGGACAAGGGCCACAAGGAGTAGGCTGACCAGCTTCACTGCACTGGTCAGCTGTGCAAGCTAGGCCAAAGGGCCCTCCTCTGAAGCGTGGCACTTTGAGGAAACCTTTGCTCACACATATAACATGTATGGGGCCAAGTCACCCAACAGAACAGAATGAGCTCTCAATTTTAGAAAATAAGTTGTGAAAAAAGAAAATATTCCTTGTGTACCCGAGTTTTACAAAGTCATACAGCAATACCGGTATACTAGGAGTTAGGTCTAATCTACAGAAGTCCTTGTAACATATGTGTTGAAATAAAGAAAATTTATAATCAAAAGAATGAAATGTGCTTGTGGATCTTAACAGCAACATTGAAAAATGTCTTCATCATGATGTGGATGCAACCTGAAATCAGGATTAAGGAAAGGAGAATGAAGAAGTAAATAGTAACGAAGGACTGCTGAATATGGAAACCTATGGTTAAATGATGGGTGTGAGCGTGTAGATTGGTACCTACCAGAGGGCAGGAGTAACAGTCTGTGACTTAGTCTGCCTGTACCATCTTCTTGACTGTGCAGCTAAACAAGGCATTGGCCCCAATCCTGCACCAGGGAGGAGTGGGAGAGCTGGCTCAAGTGGTCACTGAGCCTGTAACTGCTCCCCTAGCCCACCCTCTTTAAAATCTTGGGCTCTAGTTTTATTAGAATGGGCAATTGGGTAAGATAATATATCTGAGTTTCAATTTTCTTCTGTCCATTAATATTATTCCATTAATATTTTATTTTTTAATCAGAAATTTACTAACATTAAAAATCAAGATATTTATTTCTCATGTGACTACATCTTAAGTGCCAGGTATGTTCACATTGATTCATTACATTAATGTTGTAATTACTACAGCCCTAAGAGATTGTACTATATTATTTACTGTCTTCACATTATTCTCTGTTACACACAAAATCAGTGGTGGAGCTTGGAATCAAACTTGGGATGAGGTGTGACTCTAACACCCAAACCTTTTCCACTAAAATATACAACCTCTATTTAGAACTCAATCCAAAATTTAAGGTTTTTCCTTTTATTTTATACAAGCTTATCACTACAGTTTTAATTTGATTTACTTCACCTGAGATTTAGTGACTACCTACTATATGCTAATTATTGTATATTATCTAAGAGGTATACAAGAAGTAAAATAAATAAAACATTGCCTTTGCCCTTTTGGGGGTTCAGTTGGACAAGAAAGACATTTAAAAACATGCCATACATTAGTTTTCCAGAAAATTGATAAACATCTCTTCAAATAACAAACACTTTAAGGATGAGAGGGAAGCAATCTGATTGGCCTCACTTACTATGGCTTTGGTGTCCTTGTGTATAAAATAGAATTGCTATTTTTCCTAAGAGTTGTTTTCAGAATTCTACATGATAATGTGTGGGCAGTGCCTGGTACAGATTAGGGATACAATACATCTTAACAATAAAGACAAAAGTTTAATTTCCAGTGAGAATAAGTTTCTCAAGGGGAACAGACAGCTACATTTGCAAATCAGCATATTCTTCTAAATTTCATTTATTTAGTTACTTATTCAATAAATATTCATTGATTACCTACTATTCTAGGCAATTGGAACACAGTAAACAAAACATAGGAGAATGCCCTTTAGTGTTGTGTGTTGGAGATGAACTCGGCAGCCCTCTGAGGTAGGTACTGCAGTCATCCTCATTTTACAGACTGTGACATGGAGGCATGGACTTTCTTGCCCATGGTCACTGAATATGGAGATGCAAAGCAAGTGACCTTGAATACTGCCATCTGCCTTTTATGCAGTTTTCCAAGTAGAGAATATAGGATTTCATTTTCTTTTTTCAAAGTGACCATTACTATCCACCAATTATTGTGATGTCACATGGAGATGCTCTCAGAAACTATTGTCCTTGAGGGGTTGGCTTCCCTTGCCCTAACTGACCCAGAACTATGATGTAGTTGGTGACCAGCTGTCAATTCCCACAAAATCTAGTGCTTTTAATGCAGCTGGGGTTATCTAGGGGGAAAACTAAGTAGCATCAGTAAACCATTGAGGGTTTTTTTAGATGCAATTCTAAACATAGATTCTATCTCCCTCAAATGCCAATTGGAATGTGACACTATTCTCTCCTAAGGGGAAAATGGCATCAATTTCCCCAGAGGCATCCATCATCAACTTGTGGGCTTAAATTGCCTAAGTTTGCTCTAAGACTGAAAAATGCCTGTTCTAGTCTCATTCACAGCCCAATTCCTCTCAACAACCCTTACACATCCTGCAATCTTTCCACCTCAAGGAACACATTTTATATAGTTTTAAAATTCTAAGTATACAACATACTATCATTTAAACCTAACAAACTCTATGAGATAAATGAAGAAACAAGCTCAGAGAGGTTAAATAATCTAAGGATGCACAGTTTTAAGTGGTTGCAGGATTTGAACCCAGGCCATGTCCCTGTTCTTACAGCAATTAAGAACAGCAACATCTATATCTTCACTTCATTCTCTAATTCTTATCCAAAGAGGAAAGGCACTTTTAACAGAAGAAAAGACCATATTTAGTAACTCATTAGGGGTAATAATGTGTTTATCAAACATACATTGGAGCCCTGGTACTGGCTATTCTTTGCTGTTTCCTTGACCCTAGCTAGTGTGCTTTGCTTTATTCAACTGTGAAATCTAGGAATGCAAGAAAAGGCCTAAAAGGCTCTCAGTAAGCAAAGCACCAATTCTTCACCGCTCCAGGATCTCCTGCGGTTTAACTGAACTGCACACGCCGAATCTGCAAAGCTCAAGATGCTGACACAAGTTTGCAGTGATTTGGAATCACCTTTTTATTGGTTGCGGGGGCAAGCGGAGTGTGTTAGTTGCACCGCT